GAGAAGCAAAATACTGACTCCTACCTTTGCTATCATCCGACAGTATCACTCCTTTTCCTCCTTTACGTCGAGATACGTACTTAAAAAGAAAAGAATTTTATAGGGGATGATTAGTTGTAAATATAATACTACTCCTGGGCCAAAAGAGTTCTAAAATGGAAAAAATCCCAGAAGTCGGCGATTAGGATAAAATGCTAAATCATCCCACCGCTGATACAACCATTACTTGCTCGTAGAACCTCAATTGTTCTGGTGTTGCATTTTTCGCCTTTTCTGCATCTTCTGCTTTCCTAAAAGTGATTTATTAATAAATTTCAAAACATTCCAAATGTATCACTTACTTAAATGTTATCACAGCTGTTCCGCAATTCTTAAAATGTCGCGGTAGCGTGCCAAACATTGTCTGACGTCGATCCTCGCGTGGTAATGAGCAATGCGAGATCTGTACTTTGAAGCATATGTATCAAATTAAATGAGGCAAATAGATATTGCTTGAAAACCTTTCCAAACTGTGAGAAAAACGACTGCAGCTGCGGAGATGTGATTCTAGAGGAGACATTCGTTACTATAATCTTTCTGTCTTCTTTGGCTTTTGCATGAAATGCTAACGAAGCGTCGAAATCTGAAACATCCCATACTTCTTTCTTCCTCGTATTTCCAATTATTATATGAGTTTGACTTGATAATTGGAATGCTATCGAAACTAATTTCGGAAATTTATTGAATTTTACATTTCTTGAGAAAATAAGTCATATTTCGTACAATTTTAGAGCATTCAATAACTTGACTCTATTCCTTGAGTTAAGAGTGAAGACTAGATGAGATTCCAAGCTCTATCAATGATAATCAAACAAAAACTTGTTTCTGAGGCACACATTTGAGCGAAGGCTGATTCAATCCATTAGTGAGTTGATGTAACCAGTCTTCATCAAGCTCTCCTCATTCTTGATATAAATAAGCAAAAAGTCAAAATAAGTGGTCTTGCTGGACGGTAAACCGGTCACATTCCAAGACGATGAAAATGAGATGAGTGACGCCATATTATCGAGTCTATTTGATTAATAAAGTGACCACCATGAATTCTAATTCTGCAAATTTTGCAGAAAATCACGCAAATTATCTTTTTAGGCGACATTAAATCTGTGTTTCAAAAAAAGAGAGATGCAATTTTCAAAAGGCATTTCTTAGTTAAAATTTTGCGAAAATGTTTATTGAAACATTCTACAACGGGTATTTTTAAAAGTGCACCCAAATTTCAAATAAAAGTGCATTTCAAAAGATTCTTGAAATTTCAAGCACCAGCGAATAGTGTTACAAAAACAGTTCAACATGCATGGGTAATTTCAGTAAAACTATAGGAGAAAATACGAAATTTTCCCTTTCTCGATTTGAAATAACCTACCTATGCTTGA